ATTCTGTAAACTTTCATAGCAAGTTATGTAAAGCGATCTTTGATTGTTGGTAACTTGGTAATGCTGTGTAGGTATTCTTGAGGTGTGTAGCTCGGCAGTCTGTGTGCAATTTTAATTGCTCTGTTTTGTAAAATTTGTAGTTTCTTGTATTGGTTATCTGACATGTTACATGTTACTGCACTTCCGTATTCCATGAGTGGCCTGATAAATGCTCGGTAGATTGTTATTATTGATTTAGGTGAACATACTTTGTTTGTTCCGGCTATTTTGTTTAGGTATACTCATGCTTCAGATAAGCAGGGACCTTGTCACGATTTTGCTTGTCAGTACAGTTCGAGGTGTTTTGTGAAGAACGGAACTCCTGTTTGTGAATGTCCAACGTGTACTGAAGAGTTCCAACCAGTATGTGGCAACAATGGAATCCTTTACAACAATCTCTGTAAGCTGAAGAAAGAAGCCTGTGAAAAACGAACCGAGATTAGCGTCGCCTTTGAAGGACTGTGTGGTAAGTAATATACCACGTGTGGTTTCTATGGTGCTCTGTGCTTTAATTAATATAATAACTTATACTCTTCGTCACGTATCACCACATATTCCTGAAAATGTCAATTTAAAGACTTCTGTATCGCGGAATGAAACTCGTACATCTTATATTTTCACGCATATGAAATCAATTAAATACTTTTTTATGAACACCTGAAATTTCATACCAATTAAACTAGCTTTCAGCCCAGGTGTTTTGATGACAAACTGTGGGTATGCTTACAAACAGTTAATGATCTCATCTAATCAATTTAAAAGCCTCTGTGTGTAACGTAACGTCACCCTTGATTTCTCGAAATAGGAGGAGTCATGAAAGCCAAAATGGATTTATCCAGATAGAATAGTTCGATTACTGTCTGCCCATTACTATTTTAGTGGGAGGGGGGTGCAAGGGGGGGGGTGGCCGTGAAACTTTATACATGTAGTGAGTGTTCGGATCATCTAGCTTAGAAACATATTGTTACGTCTCTGTTCGTTTGTTAATTTTCCGTAAAAATTCTTCCCCAAGAAACTTTAGCGATACAAGTTATTTCTTAAATAAAACTAGTTTATTCTTTCTCAATACAACTTTGAAATTCACTTAATTTCCACGGTCACGCTATAACAAACGCTATAATTCACAACGGACGATTCACGCGCTTGACTCAAATGTCGTCTCTATCTCTGTCTGCAATTCAATTCCATTGTTGCCGTCAGTTCTTGGCAGTCTTATATACAAGAATATCGCACATCTAGTAAACACTCGAGGCTTCACGAACGGACATGAATTTTCTAGAAGCTCATGATGTGTTACTAGCGTCACATGACTTCCGCTGTCGTAACAATATAGATAAAACTGCATAGGCGACAAAGATATCAAAATTAAATAATAAGGTGAACACTCGCCAAGTTTATTTATATTTTCATTTAAAGAAGGCTCACGTTTTGAGCTAGGGACCTTCGTCATATCGTGCAGTTAACAATCAGCTAGCTCGAAACGTGAGCCTTCCTTAAACAAAAATATAAAAAATTTGGCGAGTGTTCACTCTGTTATTACCTAGTCTAGAGCCAAGTGCAGAACATTTATCACGAAAGTAAAAATATCGATTCAATTTTAAACTTAAATCATTTATTAATTATTATTTGATTTTAATAACAAAAATAAACCTCTTTAATCAACGGAGACTCTAAATTAATAAATCAACCAATATTTTTCCAGTTTTGTTGTCTATACATTTCATTTCAAACTTTCAATACACAGACCAACAACAATATTAGGTTATACTTTTGTTGCTGAGCAACATGACATAAAAGCCATTGTTGGAACGTAGTGTAACCAAAACACACTGGTTTTTCTATACATTACAAGTTGTTAATTTAACTGATTTTTACCAATAATTATTCTATGAATACGCCACGAATTCGTATCATGAATTATCTTAATTTTGATTGGTTCACAAAGGAATTTACCAACGTTTCACTGCCTCGACTGCACTTTTCTGCCTCTTATTTCAGTTAGCTATGAAATGTGAGGTTAGGGTATAATATGGGGTGGGGATGGTAGTACTTGCCCCCTCATTTTCGACGGGCTATACGCTAGTATATAAACACAACCACGTTTACGATTACAGACCTCCATCTCAAACATTTGTCCAGTTAAAAATAAATCAGCATGTTCTTGCAGAGAAATAGACGACGTTGTTTCCAGGTTTTGTTTATGTCATGTCGTTTCTTAAAATCGATCACCGTCAGGTTCCGTTCTGTTTCTCTATCACACCAGATATATTTACCTCCCAGTAAAATATTACAGGAGGGCTACTGCACATCATTAGCTGGACGTAACGTCTCTATTGTAAGGCCCTTTATCATGTATGCTCTGTTCAGTGATAGCCGGTCGATGCGCGTGCATCATCAAGATGGCTGTCCTGTAACAACAAACATAAAATACTACTAGGTAGTACCAGCGTACCATAGGTCGGTACACATGGTACTGATGCTTTCTGACTTATTGAACAGTGTGAATGTGCTTCATTAATGTAGCTGTTTTTATATTTGAATGTTAAACAGTGCATGCATCTTCTGATTGGTGAAACCCAGTATGAATGCATCTTCTGATTGGTTAAACCAAGTATGAACGCATCTTCTGATTGGTGAAACCCAGTATGAACGTATCTTAAGATTGGTTAAACCAAGTATGAACGTATCTTCTGATTGTTTAAACCCAGTATGAATGCATCTTCTGATTGGTTAAACCAAGTATGAATGCATCTTCTGATTGGTTAAACCAAGTATGAACGTATCTTCTGATTGGTGAAACCCAGTATGAATGCATCTTCTGATTGGTTAAACCAAGTATGAACGTATCTTCTGATTGGTGAAACTCAGTATGAACGTATCTTCTGATTGGTAAAACCCAGTATGAACGTATCTTAAGATTGGTTAAACCAAGTATGAACGTATCTTCTGATTGGTTAAACCCAGTATGAACGTATCTTCTGATTGTTGAAACCCAGTATGAAAGTTAAAACTTAATGACGTTAACATCACCTTCAAGAATAAACTTAAACTTCACTTCAAATTTAACATGGAACACGCATTTCAAGGACATTACAAAAAGAGTTAATGTCAGAGTAAAAAAAGTTACTAATAACAGAATATAATCTGAAACTTCAGTGTTTTGTGGTTAATAACAGAATATAATCTGAAACATCAACGTTTTGTGGTTAATAACAGAACATAATCTGAAACTTCAATGTTTTGTGGTTAAAACAGAATATAATCTGAAACATCAGTGTTTTGTGGTTAAAACAGAACATAATCTGAAACATCAATGTTTTGTGATTAATAACAGAATATAATCTGAAACATCAGGAACACTTACCACAGACTCCTCTGTAAGCTACGGCCACGTTCTTTATCAGGAACACTTACCACAGACGTTCTGTTATTAACCACAAAACAATGTTTCAGATTATCAATGTTTTGTTATTAACCACAAGAAC